GATCAATAAAACTGAAGCCTCTAGCCAGACTGTCAGGGAAAAAAAAGAGATGTCACAAATTACCAATAACAGGATTAAGAGAGGGGACAAGTAAACTACTCTCTCTACAGTCATTAAGGGACTATTAAACTATCACTATATTTGACCTCTTAGGTAAAATGGACAAATCCCTAGAAAGACACAACATACTAAAGCTCACTCAAGAAGAAATAGGTATCTGAGAAGTCCTATTTCTATTAATGAAATTTAATGTGTAGTTAAAAATATCCCACAAAAAAACCCTCAAAACCTGGGTGGTTTCACTGATAAATGTCACCAAATATTAAGGAAGAAATAATATCAATTTTACAGAGTCTTGCAGAAAACAGAACAGGAGGAAACTCTTTTGAATTCACTGTGGGTTCTGCATCAATCTGATACCAAAACCAAAGACATCACAGTGAAAGAAGAAAAAACAACTAAAATGCTTAAAAAAAAAAAAAAAAAAAACCTACAAACCAATAATATCCCTCATGAGTACAAATTATTGACACAATTTTAGCAACTCAAACCCAACAATATATATATTAGATACATATATATAAAATAATGAATTATAACCAAGTGGGTTTTAGCCCAGGAATGAAAAGGTTGGTTTATCATTCAAAAACCAACAATGAAATTCATTAAAAATAAAACAAAACAAAGAAACAACCATCTGATCATCTCAATAACTGTTAAAAATTTTTTTTTAAAGACAAATTCACTCACAGTAAAAACTCAGCAAACCAGGAAGAGAAGAAAACCTCTTCAACCTAATAAAGTAAGAGGGAGACCCCAAATAAACAGGTATTATCTTTTTGGAGGGTGACCCCTTGTAGTATACTTGGAATTTCTTCCTCTGGACCAAACATCAAAGTTTTTATCTGGAAGTTTTGAGAAGGCTGCATCACGATTTGCAAAGTGTCCCAAACTGTGGCAAACAGGTGACTGGTTCTTCTACCACAACAAAATACTTACGTACACAGCACTGAGTGTTCAGCCATTTTTGACCCAAACCAGCATAACCCTGTGCCCCACCCTCCCTATTCATCTGTTCTTGCCCCGAGCAACTTTTTTCTTTCTTTTATTTCTCACCCCCAGTGACTTTTTTTTACTTGAAATAAAACAATTTTAAAGAACAAAATCAGAGGTCTTATACCATGGTATTTCAAGATTATAAATATAAGTTAAAGTAATCAAGACAGTTGAAATATTGGTGTAAAAGACGTTATTAATTACGGGAACAGAGTCCACAAATAGATTCACATATGTATGATCAGGTTTTATTGTTTTGTTTTTTACAAAATTGCAAAGGCAATTCAATGGGGACAAGAAAAATCTCTTCAACAAATGGTGCTGAAACAAGTGGATAACCATATGCCAACACACACACACACACACACACACACACACACAAAACCCCAATTCAACCCTGCCTTAATACCATATACAAAAATTAACTGGAGAGCTGCCAAGATGGCCACTGTGGAGCAGACTGGCGCCTCTCTGGCTGAGCAACGCAGAGAGTGGTGACCCAGCCGCCCATAGACAGAGACAACTTGAACACTTTTGGAGAGGTCAAACACCCTCGGTGGGCTCAGTGGATCAGCCTGTAATCCCAGCACTTTGGGAGGCTGAGGTGAGTGGACTGCCTGAGCCCGTGGGTTCGAGACCCGCCTGGGCAGCGAGACCTCATCTCTACAATAAGTCAAAAATTAGCCGGGCGTAGTAGCTATTTAATGTAGTTCCGGCTACTCGGAAGGCTGAGGCGGAAGGATCGCCAGAGCCCAACGGGTCGAGGCTGCGGTGGCCGGCTCTCCGACTCAAAGGAAAAAAAACAAAGCAACACCCCACAACCCAGCAAAGGTCTCTCTGAACAGAGATAACCAGAAAGTGATGGCTGACGCGCAAATCTGGTATTCCATCCCCCACAGTGCACCAGGCTCGCACAAAAGCTGAATCCCTGCCTAGTGATCAATAGCGGGTGAGTATACGAACGACGACTTGAGATGGTTCGCCCTCTCTCAACCGTGCGCAGGTTGCTGGCCCATGCAGGAGGAGTCCTGGGCAAGGCACAGCGGTGTCAACCGAAACTCAAGCAGAATGGGGGGGAAAAACCTGTGCTGGGTCAGTTGCCATGAGCGCTGACTCACAGGCAGGGAAAGCCCGCCTGCAGTGAACCTGGCTGGTGGCCATCTTCCTAGCCAAAGCAGGAAAAATTCATTGAAATGGATCATAGATCGAAGGCTACAAGTATTAAAAAAAAAAAAAAAGAATAAAATCTGGGGTTAGGAAACAATTTCTTAGGACATAAAAATATTAAGTGTAAAAGAATAAGCTGACAAATTGGATTTCATCAAAACTTTAAAATATACTCTTCAAAAGATACTGATTACAAAAATGAATAAGCAAGCAACACATTGGGAGAAGATATTTGCAAAACATTAATCCAGCAAGGTACTTCGATTTCGAATATAAAAAGAACTCTCACAGCTCAATAAGGAGGTACTCAATTAAAAAAAAAAAAAAAAAGGCCAGAGAACACTTAACAAAAAGAGACATACAGATGGCAAAAAAAAGCACATGAAAAGATACTTAACATCAAAACTTTTCAAACTGTAAAATTTTAAGTAGGTTTCAATATATTGCAATTAGTTATACTTCAATAAAGCTATAACAATTTTTAACAATAAACTTAAGGCTAATTAATTTATCACACACTCAAAAGCAAACAGATGTGCCCAATGACATGCAATGGCTTGGAATGACTGCAGATAATGACACTGTATACCATGTAGGTTGAGTTTAAAGACTGACACTATGACAGACATTACTAGTTTCCTATCTTATATCCACTGTCTTCTGCTTCCTTACTAATAGGACCTCAGTTGTGTCTGTACGAGAAAATATGCCCAGCTAAAATACTCAAAACGCTTATCTGTCGCTGTTAACCTTTGTCATAGAGGTACTATCCCTTCCTCCTCATCCATGCTTGGAATGTAGCGATGACACCTTGCGGTACACCATCTATACTGTGACCCAAAGGACGAAAGCCAATGCTAAGGGTGAAGAGGAGTAAAAAAAGAGGATAAATTTGCTTCCTCAATAGCATTCACAGGACTCAAGCCATAGATGGCCTGACTGGACTTCTTACTGAGATAAATAAACCACTTCCTTGTTTAAGCCATCATTTGTTGGTAATTCTCTTCCACACAGTTCAATAAAACGCGTAGCATTCAGAGAATTTGGTATGAGAAGTGGAGTATGACGTACCAGTTATCCAACCAATCCCTATGTATTTATTCCAATTTTATGGTCCTATTCTTTCCTACTAAGTGCCTTAACTTCTAAAAGAGACCTGATGCGGTTGTAAACTCAATTTATGTTGTAATTCAGCAACTCTCAGGGTCAGCCTCTGTTTAACGGTATTAGCCGTATGAATGCAAAAGATAAGAAACTCTCTTAGGACAAAGAACCATGTTGGGATTTTTTTTTTTTAATGCCTTAAAAAAGAATTCTAGGCTGGGCGTGGTGGCTCACACTTATAATCCTAGCACTTTGGGAGGGCGAGGTGAGAGGACTATCTGAGCCCATGGGTTTGAGAGCAGCCTGGGCAACTTAGCAAGACCTCATCTCTACAATGAATCAAAAAATTAGCCAGGTGTGGTGGCATGGGCCTGTAGTTCCAGCTACTTGGAAGGCTGAGACGGAAAGCTCACCCGAGCCCAGCAGGTTGAGGCTGAGTGACCGTGAGCATGCCACTGCACTTCAGCCTGGGCAACAGTGAGACACTGACTCGAAAAAAAAGAATTCTATACTACCCCTTAAGGCTTTTCCTTAAGTAGACACTTTATTCACAACATGATATACACTGCCAAAGTCACATCTTCTAAAACTATTTTTATCCTCACTGCCATCAAACCCGATTCAGACTGCCATATCTTTGAAGGTTGGTCTTTTACTTGCAGTCTTGATACAAATTGTCAAATAGGTCTGCCTAATAGCATAATCATAGAAATTAAGTACAGAATAACCTCTAGGAGGACTAGAGTGCCAGATCCTAAAGGTTTACAATCAGTAATAATGCCCAACTATACTATGAGGGTTATTCTAGCAAAAACACCACTTCCAGCCAGGTGCAGTATCATGCATCTATAGTCCCAGCTACTAAGAAGATTGAAATGGGAGGATTGCTTGAGCCCACGAGTTTTAGGGCGGCCTGGGCAACATAGTGAAACCCTGTCTCTAAAATCAAAAAACAAAAAAACCTCAATTCCACTGTTGCTTAGACCTGGATACTAGAAGCCCTCCTGGTGCTGTCCTTAAGCAAGTGGATGTCTTTACCACCAGGACTGCCAGATCAGCCCTCCTGATCAACATATTCACATTGCTTCCTTCTAAATCCAAATCTTAGGTCATATGTCTGTACCCTAGCTGTTAAGAGAGACTAGGAATATGAATCCCATGACTTCACTAAGAATATGAAACACTTTATGTGGGAAAGCGTCTAAATGTAAGGAGTGTATTTAAGATATATAGTCATAAGCCGGGCTCGGTGGCTCAGCCTATAATCCTGTGCCTTGGGAGGCTGAGGTGAGTGGATTGCCTGAGCCCGCAGGTTCGAGACACACCTGGGCAATTTGGCGAGACCTCATCTCTACAATAAAATAAAATTAAATTTAAAAAAAATCAGCCCGGCGTGGTAGTGCGTGCCTGTAATTCCGGCTACTCGGAAGGCTGAGGTGGAAGGATTGCCGGAGCCCAGTAGGTTGAGGTTGCGGTGGCCGGGAACGGCCACTGCACTCCAGTCTGGGCGACAGAGTGAGACTCCAACTCAAAAAAAAAGATATATAGTCATAAGTGATAACAGTCCACTACTTACATTATTATCTCTAACATCTTAACAACAAACATTTTACATAGGATCTTTTTATATAATTACACTTAATTGTCTACCACCACCCCCTAATTATACTTACTGAACGGGCACATTTTTTGGGGGGACTGCTAGAAAGTCCATCTAGTTGCCCATGTTCACCCAGAAATCCGGTCACTTGGTCCAAGAAGGAAGATACATCTAACTGGTGCCATTCTACTAGCTTCTGACCTAAAGATTAAAAACCAGGATATATAAATATAATAAAATCTATATTCTTCCTGAACATTCTCATTAAGTATTTCTTTCAGCATATGCATAATTAAAATTTACTGTGAACATGCATCACCGCCCTCACCAACTTAAGTTACATAGTGCCTTCATAACCTAGAGGATACATCAATTATAATCCACCTAACAGAGTCCTACCATCATGATAGACAACTATCTTATTTGCTGATATCACTTACTGCCATTTAGAATGAGATTCAGACAAAGCAGTATCTATATAAAATGGAATAAGTTAATAATAACACCAGTTTCACCCTCTGTTTCTGTAGTGAGATCACAACTAGTATCTGAACAATCTTAATATTTTATTGATAGAAACCTAAGGGGTCGGGTGCAGTGGCTCATGTCTGTAATCCCAGCACTGTGGGAGGCAGAGGTGAGAGGACTGCCCGAGTTCAAGGGTTTGAGATCAGCCTAGGCAACTTGTTGAGACCTTCATCTCTACAATAAATCAAAAAACTAGCTGGGTGTGATGGCATGTCCCTGCGGTTCCAGCTACATAGAAGGCTGAAACAGAAGGATCACCTGAGCCCCAGTAGGCTGAGGCTGCAGTGACTGTGAGCGTGCTACTGCACTACTGAGTGAGACTCAAAAAAAAGGAACAGACCTGTACAAATATAAAACATTACCATCACCCATAGTAGTCAAAAAAAGATTTCCTAAATACACACATCAATAGGTATGTAAGCAATTATAAAGGGAATAAACAAGAAAGCTTCATCTAAACTATTACAATTCTGAAACCAGATCCAGTCAAATATTAAAATCAATCATTTAGGTAAATGATAGATTAAAGGTTACTAGCTGATATAAATCTTACCTGTCCGTGGATCCAATATGGAAACATAGGGGAAATCCCCTAGCTTATAAAACTGTATGTATCTCTGACCTTCTTCACTGTCATGATAAACCTGTTAAGTCATTGATATAAAAAAAAAGTCAGCCTACAAAGGGACTACCTTATACACCAGCAGCAGTTAATTCTCCAAATATACCTTTACTGTATGTGTTAGGATCTCATTTCTGCATTAAAGAGAAAAGGAAGGCCAGGCACAGTGGCTCAAGTCTGTAATCCCAGTACTTCGGGAGATCGAAGTGAAAGGATTGTCTGAGTTCAGGGGTTCGAGATCAGCCTGGGCAACTTGGTGAGACCTCGTCTCTACAGTAAATCAAAAAAGTAGCCAGGGGTGGTGGCATGTACCTACAGTTCCAGCTACTTGGAAGGTCAAGGCAGAAGGATTGCCTGAGCCCAGCAGGTCAAGGCTGCAGTGGCTGTGAGCATGCTACCGCACTCCAGCCTGGGCAACAGAGTGAGATTCCAACTCAAAAAATAAAAATAAAAAAGAGAGAGAAAGAAAAGGAAAGTCATCTGGTATGTGAAATCCGCAACTTCTTGCCCTTAGACCTTTCTGGAAACTTACCATAAACATATCAATCCATTCCTCCTCCTTTCCAAGTTCAGAAGAAGTATTATTCTTCCTGCTCAAGTTATCTGTTAACTTATGTCATTTCTTATTCTCAATCATATACCTCTTAATAAACCACAATATATTAAGATTATGGCCGGGTGCATCGCTTTAGGCCAGGAGTTCACAACCAGCCTGGTCAACATAGCAAGACCCAGTCTCTACAAAAAAATAAAAATAAAAAAAATTAGCTGGGCATGCCTGAAGTCCTAGCTACTTGGGAAACTAAGGAAGGAGGATTACTTGAGCCCAGGATTTCAAGACTGCAGTGAGCTATGCTCATGTCAGTGCACTCCAGCCTGGGCAACAGAGTGAGACTCTCTTACTTAAAAAAAAAAAAAAAAAAAAAATACACACACACACGTACCTAGGCAAAGAGATGTTCAACCACTATTTGCTAAATAAAAGGAATTTTACTATTTAAAAAATTACATTAAACTTAGAAGCCTGTAAAAATATAAATAGGCAAAGTAATAACATTAATAACGCATTTTGTAGCACGGAAAGAATTAAGTTCATTCAAAAGGTTTTATTTTCACCAGGTGTAGTGGCTCACGCCTATAATCCCAGCACTTTGGAAGGCTGAGGCAAGAGGGATTGCCTAAGCCCAGGGTTTGAGACCAGCCTGGACAACTTGGCAAGACCTTGTCTCTACAATAAATAAAAAAATAAGCTGGGTATGGTGGTACATGCCTATCGTTCCAGCTACTTGGAAGGCTGAGGCAGAAGGATGGCTTGAGCCCAACAGGTCGAGGCTACAGTGGCCATGAGAGTGTCACTGCACTTCAGCCTGGGTGACAAATTGAGACTTTGACTCAAAAAAAAAAAAAAAAAAAAGGTTTTCTTTT